CTGCTTGAGCCTAGAATCTGTTGAAAACAATGCTCCCCTTGCTGCTTTCTCCTTCTCGCTCTTCCATGGCCACCACCACTGTACTGGTTTCTCTTCATCTCTCCTTGTTAATACCTCCAGAGCTGGCACAACCTTAACTTGTTTGGGGGGAACAGTGAGAAAGAAGAGCCTGGTAAGAAGCAAGGAGCTCATACAACTCACTGGCAGAGCACACATCAGAGGACATACAAAGTATATGCTGCTAGTGCAGTGGGAAGGGTGAACAAGGACTGACTGGGGGCCAAGGCCTAAGGCCAGGCAGGGCATCATCTCCACCTATCTACCTGCTCTCCAGCACAGCTCAGCCTAGTGTAGGTAGCCAGTGGGGAGGAGAACACCAGACACCAGTGGTCACTGCTGGCTCACTGAACTGCTATGCCACTCTTCATTTCTAATATTTTCTTCCTGCACTTTAATTGATCATCTTGGACATATTGGAGATTATTGTTGTAGGCAATAAGGAGCCACTGAAAGTTGTTGAGCAGAGAAGTGAGACATGATTAGAATTGTGTGTTAAGAATATTAATTTGGCATATATGTGAAGGACTAGGGTAGTTAGGTGGTGCAGTGGATAGAATGCTGGGCCTGGAGTCAGGAAGACTCATGTTCCCATGTTCAAATCTGACCTTAGACACTTACTAGTTATGTGACCCTGGGCAAGTCACTTAACCTGTTTGCCTCAGTTTCCTCATCTGTAAAATAAGGATGGGCAGTTAGGTGGTGCAGTGGATAGAGTACTGAGACTGGAATCAGGAGGATTCATCTTCATGAATTAATCTGGCCTTAGACATGTACTGGCTGTGTGACCCTGGACAAGTCACTTAACCCTATTTGCCTCAATTTCCTCATCTGTAAATTGAGCTGGAGAAGGAAATGACAAACCACTCCAGTACCTTTGCCAAGAAAACCCCAAATGGAGTCACGAAGAGTCAGACACAATTAGATTGAACAACAAAATGTGAAGGATGGACTAGGAAGGGCAGAGACTAGAAGCAAATGTATGGGCCACATGTTAGAAAATCACAAATTAACATTATCTGTGTTGTATTGCATTTTTATTGATTTTGCTAAATATTTTCCAATTGTGTTTTAATTTACTTCCAGTGGTGAGTTTGATGCTTCTGGTACGTGGAGGTGATCAGAGCTGTGGACTGTGGCAGAGTAGAGATGAAACAAGAAATATTGTGAAGGTTGAATTAACAAGTCTTGACAACTGATTGCATATAGAAAGAGTGGCAAAAGAGGGGGAAGAACTAAACATATCATTAAGATTTTTATCCTGAATGGGGTATAGAAATCTATCCTGCCCTGTAGGAAAATTGAAGGGGAAGGGGATAAGAGAAGGGGGGGAGATAGAATGGAGGGCAAATTGGGGGAAGGGTTATTCAGAATGCATGCCACCTTGGGGTGGGGGAGGGATGAGGTGGGGAGAAAATTTGGAACTCAAAATCTTGTGGAAGTGAATGTTGAAAACTAAAAATAAATAAATTTAAAAAGAAAAAAAAGATTTGTATCCTGGTACCTGAGACAAAAGTGGTCATAGCACTTAGCACAGTGCCTGGCATAGGACAGGTACTTAATAAATGCTTGTTGACGTGACTTGGTCTGATCAACAGGAATTAGAATGGAAATGAGAGAATGGGGAAGATTTAGGGTTGACGAGATGATCATGAAGCTGCTTTCTTGGGAGACCTGTTAAGTTTGAGGTGTCAACAGAATGTTCAGGTAGAGATGTCTAGTGGAGAGTTAGAGATTTAGAGTTATAACTCAGGGCAGGAATAAATCAAGAATTTATTGCAGACTTTTTTCTGAATGTTTGGGCTAATGGGGAGCTAGAGCCAAGGGGCATATGCTTCCAGGCCTCAACAGGAAGGAAATTAGAAACAGTTTTTTTTTTGTTTGTTTGTTTTTAAACTACCAGTACTTAGGAAAGGCAGGATGATACAGTAGAAAAGATCATTGGGCTTGTTCCTAGGAGACCTGGGTTTAAAATCTGACTCTGATATGCCCAAGTTGCGTGACTTTAGGCAATTCCCATAGCCTCTCAGGAATGATAATTCCTCCTCTGTAAAATAAGAGGGTTGGGCTAAATGAGCCCTAAGCTTTCTTCCCACTCTAACTTTCCATGTTTTAATGGCCCTTCTAGATCTTACATTCTATGTGCTAAGGCCCATTACAAGTAGACCATTCTGTAGTCTAAGGAAGCTTCTACCTCTAGCCTTCTATAGTTTAAGGTACCTTCCAGCTCCAACATTATATATTTAAAGGCCAATCCCAGCAAAATCCTCTGATCCTTGTACTATATTATGATAAAGAAATCCACGTAATCATAGAATATAAACCCTGACAAATGATCTTAAAAGGGGGACTTCCAGGTCAGCTAAGGGACAAGAGACTGCAGACTAAATAAAGTTCAAGTAAACAAAGACTAAAGAGGGATGTGAACCAAACTTTACAAAATCAACAGTTTCTTACCAGTAGTCCTTCTGAGTACCAGGAAAAGGAGCAGAGAAGGAAATTCTCCGATGCTTCCTTTGAAACCAATCCCCTGAAAATTCTTACAGCCTTCTGCAGTTGGCAATAGGCCCTGTAAATAAAACTGAACCCCCAAATGACACCTGATCATTCCTTGAGATATAAATCATATTTACTTTAAAAAGGATAAATAAAATGCACAAGATATAATAAATATAGGATACTTTGGGGATATAGCTGAGCTCTGTACAAACATGAATCCTAAGTAAAATAGCTTTTTAGGAATTGAGAATCCCTCATTTATTACTTCCCCTTGACTCCCCAATATCCAGTCAGTTGCTAAATCTGATTGACTCTACCTCTACAGTATCTCCTATGCCATCTTTTTTTGTCATACTCCCACAGCCACCAATCTGGTTCATACTTTCAGCACCTTTCACCTGGACTAATCTAATATATTGTTCCTTCACTGGTTTGCCTGCCTCCATTTTCTTCCTCTGCTAATCCATTCTTCACACAGCTGCCAAATTAATCTTCATAACACATAGGTCTGAAAATGCTGCTCCCTTACTCAAAAACCTTCAGTTGCTCCCCACTACTTACAGGATAAAATACAGATTCCTTGGCTTGGCAGGTATGGCCTTAAATTTTCTTCTATTATGAAAAATCTATCTTTAAAATGTCATGTAGGCTTTAAGTTGGGGGTTGAGTTGGAGTTGGTCTAGCAGTTTTGAGATTTAATAGGAATACTGTATTCACCCTTCTCATAGCAGTAGGTGTGTTTGACATGGCAATATGCCCCTGCCCCCCAATCACACATAGATAGCCTAAAGGATTTAATTAGATTGAGATTCAAGTGAGATATCTCAATGCCAGAAACCAAACCTAGAAGCCATGAGTCACATGACAACATGGTATACTCTGAGGAAGTATTTTATAATGAAAAGAACTTTGGTAGATTTGGAGTCAGAAAACCAGAAGGGTCGGGGTGGAGCAGCATGGATATTGGCTCTGATACTTGCCAATGTGGCCCTGAGCAAGTCATTTCTTGTTCTCTCTGGTCCTCACTTTCCTTCCCTGATAAATAAGAAGTGGTGGTTTAAATGATTTCTTTTTCTTCAAGTTCTTAATCATGAGAACCTTTGATAGCAGATAAATCTAAATCAATCTGAGAGGGAAGAAGGGGAGGAGGGGGAGGAAGGGGAGGAAGGCATGTCATTTTGTGAGCTGCTCCCTAAATGGAAAAAAGGAACACTCATGGCACCCAGGAGCTTAATTCTCTATTTCTTCATGCAGCCTTCTACCCACTGAATGCCCCCTATGTCAGATGGCACACAAATGGAGTCACAGTTACTTTTGAATGTTTCAAGGTTAACTTTATGCCAGCTTCTGTTCTGTGTACCCTAGTCAAAGAAAACAAAATTGTAGATTCAGAAGTTGAAGAGACCCCTTATCATATACACAAGGAAACTGAGGCCAAGAGAGTTGAACTAACCTGCCAAATGTCACATAGGTAATGTCAGAGGTGGAATTTGAACTCAGGTCTTATGATTATGGGGGCCAGTGCTCTTTCCATTGTACCACACTGACTCCTACCTTCTTTCACATTAGCTTCTCTATAAGTCCCTTATAATGGCTTGGTTTGCACATAATTTGAGCTAATACTACAGTTCCTCCTCATATACTCCAAGCCCAGTTTAATTGGAGATAGCAATGGCCCAGTGTTTCCTTTGAGGCACAGAAAGTTGTCTTTCTGATCTGCTTCACCTTGCCTAGATATAGTAATTGCTACTCATATTTCTGTAGTGTATTCATCATGATAACACAGCAAGGCAGGTAGGATGAACATTTTCATCCCCATTTTTCAGATCAGTACACTGAAACTCAGTGATGGAAAGTGATTTGCCCAGGAACGTACAACAAGGAAGTTGTACATTGGGAATTCAAATCCAGTTGTCCTGACACCAGGACTAGTGCTTTTACTCTCTACCCTACTACCATTCAATTTACTATACTGAAAAGTACCCTCTCTATCACCTTTCTTTGATTTCTTCAAAGCTACAGGTTAAGGGTTGGGGAAGTATCAATGTTACCTTTCCTTTTACCTAAAACATCATCATTATCATCATTTAAATAGTAATAATAAATAATTGTGAAACACTCTACATATATCCTTTCATTGAATTCTTACAACCCTATGAGATAGATGCTATTATCATTCCCATTTTACAGATGAGAAAAGTAAGAATTTTAGAGATTAAGTGACTTGCCAAGAGTCGCACAGCTAGTAAGTGTCTGAAGTAGGACACCAGTCTAGAACCCTGTCCACTCTGCAGACTAGCTTTCTTATTACTCTACATAGCTGGAAAGTAGCAAGGGGTTCATATTAGTCCCAGATCCCCATGGAGTTATTAAGAGAAGGGAGGGGCTTTGGCATTTTAGAGGATAAGCATTGCTTTGACTCCTACCTTCTCCATATTCCGTAGTTCCTGGAGCTGTTCCACTTGAATCCATCCAAGGAGGGCCCTTTGAGGAGAAGATCTATGTCCAGTGGAAACCTCCCAATGAGACCAATGGCCTGATCACTCTCTATGAGGTAAGACATGTCCAAGAGGTAAAGAGGCCCTTGAAGGACCTTTTCCAGGGAGATATCTCAGCACTGGCTTGCCAGGCTTCATGTGATGCAAACTACTTTGAGAATATGTGTTCCAGAAAATCAGTGCATAATCCTGAAAACACCCCTGTGACTGAACAAGAAGAACAGAACTCTGAAGGACATGGCAGGTAGAGAGTTTTGGTTAGTCAGAACTATTCCCACGTTTCCTATTGACTGCCCAAGAGGCCCCTCAGAGGATTGAGGGGAGCTCCCTCACTCCTAGGATAGCCTTACTGCCATTAGGTCAGTCCTGAACTACCTCAGCCAGTAAAGGGGGGAGGGGAAAGCATCTTGTGTGTCTGAGGGAAATGTTGTAAAATCTAAACATGTGTCAAGGGATGTCTCAAAAACCACATTTTAATAAATGAAATTAAACAAATTAGATTTTTACAATTAGCTTCCAATGCTTATTCCCTCAGAAAATTGCCAATATTATAATTGTTCTCTCCTGGACTCAAAGAGCTTATCTCAATACAGACAGAGAGAAATGGCAAATTGGAAATGAGAGGAGATTCTCTGACTCTGCAGTCCCACCACCATTCCACAATAAAAGGCATGAACTAGGGGGGTGGAAGTGTCAGAGGAGAGAAGGGGGCATATATGAAAGATTTTACAAAGATAAAAATCTAAATGTCTTGGCAATGTATGGGATGACTATGTGGCGGTGTGAGTTAGTAGTGAGGCAGAAGGAGAAGTTGAGGACAGTGTCTGATTTGCAAGCCTGGGTAACTGGGAGAATGGTGGAGTCCTCCAAAGTAATACAAAAAATTAGAAAGAGCAGAGAATTTGAGGGAGAAGATAATGAATTCAGTTTTGAATGAGGAGAAGAGAGTGATAGTCTCAAAGGCTGCAGAGAGGTCAAGAAGAATGAAGATTTTTTTAAAGGCCATTAGATTTAACAATTGGCAATTTAGATCATTGGCAACTTTGGAGAGAGCTGTTTCAGTTGAGTGATGAGGTGGGAAGCTGTATTGCAGAGAGTTTAGAAGAGAATGAGAGGAAAAGGGAGTGGAGGCATCAGTTATAAATCAGCCTTCTCAAGTCTAGCCATAAAATAGAGGAGAAATGTAGGACAATACCTAGTGGCGATGGATAGAACAAATGGGAATTTTTTGAGGATGGGAGAGACATGGGCATGCTCATAGGGGAAGCAAACAGAAAACAAACAGGAGAGATTGATAACCAATGAGAGAGTAGGGATGATAGAAGAGGCAATCTACTGGACAAGATGGGTTGGAATGGGATCATTTGGAGGAGTGAAGGAGGAGATGGTGGTAGAAAGCAACTAAAGGAAGTGAGATGAGGAAGAGAGGAGAAGAGGAAACTCTCACCAAGTGGCCTCAGTTTTTTTCAGTGAATTGTAAGGCATGGTTCCCAGCTGAAAAGGTGGGGAGAAAGAGAGCCATGAGAGATTTGAGAGAGGATCAAAAGGTTTGGAAAATCCAAAAAGTGGAATAGTAATTTAGTTAGGGAAGTATAAAAAGATTACTTTGCTGCAGTCAGGGTCCAGTTGAAATTATGTAAATTAAATTCAATAAAATGCTAATTGAATGCCTATGATGACAGATGCCAAAGAAGACACAAAAGTAACTAAGAAATGTTCCCTGCCCTCAAGAAGCTTATAATCCAGGATGTTATAGTACGATGGATACACAAACAATTATAGCATAAGCCAAAATAGAGTATGGTAAATACATGAAAAAAGGCATAAACAAAATACTATAAAGCATCCAAGGAAGGAAAAGTTATTTCCAGCTGGTGGGGACAGGGATGGTAGAAGGCTTCATTCTCCTATGAAGGAGTGACATTTAAATAGGACCTAGAATTATGGAGTGGTAGGGTTTCAACAAGCAGAAATGGGAAGGCAGGAAAGGGAGGACATTCCAGGCATGAGTAATGATGAAAACAATGGCATGAAGGCAGGAGAGCCTATTTCTTTGGAACAGTGAGCAGGACAGTCTGAATAGAGCACAGAGTAAGTACAAGAAAGGAAATAGTGTGAGAAGAATCTTGTTCCTAACCAAGAATGAGCTAGCGCTCATTTGCTAAAACTTGACTCTTACCTGGGTAGAAAATTTTCTACAGTGAGAGAAAAACTTACAAAGGAGTTGGTGTTATAAGTCTTTCATTTTCAAACCAAGCATGAAGTCTGCCTATATCCCAAGCACAGATTGTCAGTGTCTGAAAGGTGCAGTGGGATTAATGCAGCAACTTCATACATCTGGAAGCTTGATATTCCAAATAGGCTTCTATTACAAGTGAATTTGGCTTGGTCACTTCAGCTTAGCCCCAAGAGAATGTCTGCCTATTATGAAGCCACTATCCTATATGTTATGATTCATGTTCTGATTTGCACTTGGTTTCCCTGAATTAGCTGCATAGAACTGGCAATTTTAGTAATCTAAAACATGGTGATCTTGGGAATACAAAGGATAGTTCACTAGACCTGGAGTAAGGAAAATCAGAGTTGAAATCCTAGACCTGTGATTTCCCTGATATAGGGAATTCTAGTATGAGAAAACTCACTTCCCCAATGCTGGCCAGCACCATTTGCAGCTTATATTTTTAGAGCGTTGCCTGTGCACTGAGAGATTTAGTCACTTGCTCAAGGTCACCCAACCCTTGTGTCAGAAGAAGGGTTTGAACCAGATTTTCCTGGTTTTGAAGTCAGCTCTCTATCTATTATACCATGCTGCCTCGCATGTATTATGACAACGTAGGTTAACTGGATGACTATTACCTATATCTGGTGATTTACATGAGCAGACATCATATCACCAGAAAGAATTGAGGCAGAATTGCTGAAGACGATAAAGGTTTGTACAAGAAATGAAGCATTTTGAGAACACAGGTGATATTTTTATCACTGCTGCTGATTAAAGGCAAAGGCATAGGAAGAGAAAGACAGACATGGGAAGTGAACAGCCAGTTAAGAGGATGGTTTTTGAGAATAGGATTTTGGATCACAGCATAAAATATAGAAGAATGGCATGCTCCTAGCCAGAAATGGAGTGCACCTACCAAGAGCTGGTAAGAATGTGTTTGCTTGTTAGTCTAGCCAAATCTTATCAAAAGTGCCTTTTAACTAAAAAGGAAAGAGAAAGGAGAAAACTGTCATTGCACCAAGTTCCATTCCATAAACAGCAGCAACAGTATAGAAAGAAGAATAGCGGGAGAGACACCCAGAAATACACAAGCAACAAAATCAAAAAAAGGAGCCAGCAATTTTAAAAATACCAATGAATGTAGAGGTCTTTACAAAAATGCATAAAGACTAGGTACCAAGCAAGGTGAATAAAAGATCCTAAAGGAAGAAGGTAACTTTGATCTTATATATATCACTGAGGCTTGATGGGATGAGACTCAGGACTGGAATATGATGATAGAAGGCCATGTACCTTATTCAGTAGGACTGGGATAGATAAAAATGGGGTATATAGTAGTACCATATATGAAGAATATATATCAGTGTGAAGAAATCCAAGAACCTGAACAGGAGAACATGGTGAAGAAGATAAATGGAGACAAAAAAAAATAGAAGCAATATTATCATTGTAGTATACTAGAGACCACTGGGGCATCTAGGTGTTAGAGTGTTAAAGTTACTGTAGGCACCAGACCTAGAGTCAGGAAGACCTGGGTTCAAATCCGCCCTTAGAAACTTACTGGCCATGTGACCGTGGGCAAGTTACTTAACCCTGTTTGCCTCAGTTTCCTCATTTGTAAAATGAGCTAGAGAAAAGAAAAGGTAAACCACTCCACTATCTCTGCCAAGAAAACCCCAGATGGGGTCAGGCATGACTGAAAAACTACTGGACACCAACAATATGATATTCTTCTGGACAAAATTAAGAGATATTGGTCAGGTGGCAGTGCAGTTAGGTAGATTTTAAAATGGTTTATTATACATATCCCAAGAATAGTCATCAGCAGTTTAACTTATCCTCCAAAGAAAGTGTGTAGGAGAGGGCCTCCAGGATCTAAACTTGTTATTTAACACCTTTGTAAAAGAGTTGCCTAATTAATAGATGGCATGCTTTTTGGGTTTTCAGGTGACACATATGTAAGTCAAGTTAAGATGCAAGTATTAATCAATTACAATATGCCTGGAGCCTGGACAGGAATGAAGGGATGAACATGACTAGCTTAAACCTTTCCTTAAAATAGAAGTTCCAGAAGAAACTGACCAGTTAGAGAAGGCAGCTATAGGAATCTTCCAGGGTAAAAAGACAGAGTAGAAAATGAGTTCCAGAGAATCAAGAATGGCACCCAGAGAGGAAATGAGAAGAGGAGAAATAATACATTATATGACAGAATTTTCAAAGTTTCTGAAAAGGTGGACCACAAGACTGAATATAATAAGATGAGATTTTATAGTGTTAAATGTAAATACCCTTAGGTTCAAAAAATCATCTTCAGAAGTACAATATGAAGGACATATGACTGAAAAGAAGTTCATGTGAAACTCTGGGTTTTGTGAACTTCATACTATATACTTCTTTGCATAAAGATGATTTTGCTGGAAGTGGTGAACAGGAACTATGGGTTCATCATATTTCAAAGAACTATACTGTGTATGTCAACACTTGATAAATGTTTTTGTTGAACTTATCTCAGAGGAACCATTAAAAGAAACAAAGGATTAGTAAGTAGATAAATATAGAAGCCATGTGATGCAAGGAAAAGTATCTGACAAAGTCTCTAATGAAGTGCTTATGGACAAGATGGACATGTATTGACTTGATGATGGTATGGTTAAGGTAGACTGAAGCAAAAAAAATTATTCATGGATCAATAGCAACTTGGAAAGAGGTCTCTACTGGAGTACCCCTGAGATCTGTTCTGGGCTTATCATCAATAACTTCAGTGAAAGCATACGTTATATATTTACCAAGATTGTAGATATTATAATTATGGAAGACATAACCAACACATCCTTC